GCTCTTTCCTTCGGCGACATTTTTCTTTTGCTTCGTGTTCTATGGCGATTCTGGTCCGATGGTAGAAACATCAAGAGAATACATCCAAATTAAGCAAATATATTTTGTGGCTTAATTTTTTATGTATGTGGTGTTTTGCAGTTGTCGTATCAACCGTATTCTGGAATCTCCTCGTGGTAACGCCTTGTTAGTGGGTGTTGGTGGTAGCGGTAAACAGAGTTTAGCTCGTCTGGCCGCCTTCATCAGTGCTTTGGAAGTGTTTCAGATTACGCTGAGGAAAGGATACAGCATCCCAGACCTGAAGGTGTGTAATAGAGATGCGATGATCAATCATGCCTTCATATCTTCCTTCGCAGTATCTTCATCGTCTACGGGTATATTTATACAAACTCACAAAGTGACCGGCTCCCAGTTGACTTGATAGCTCTGTTGGTAGAGCACTGCACTAGTATCGCAGATGTCATTTGTTCGAATCCCGTTCAGGCCTGAATTTTCTTTTTTCAGGCTTTAATTTGACAACTGCCTAAGTTGTGTGTATAACTGCGATGATCAATGATGTCTTCATAGATATGACTGTGCGAAAAAAAAAAATACACGCATGCCAATTGTGCTGAATTATCAATGGACATTTTTTCTCATCTATCCAGCTTGACTTAGCAAACCTGTGCACCAAGGCAGGGCTGAAAAACATCGGCACTGTGTTCCTGTTGACGGACGCGCAAGTTCCAGAAGAGAGTTTCCTTGTTTTGATCAACGATCTGCTGGCTTCTGGTGAGATCCCAGGTCTGTTCGCTGATGATGAAGTTGAGAATATTATCTCCGGAGTCAGAAATGAAGTGAAAGGTGCTGGACTTCAAGACACAAGAGAGAATTGCTGGATGTTCTTCATTGAACGAGTGCGACGAAATTTGAAGGTAAACAAACTTAACTCCAGCATCGATTTGACGGAATTTTCGTAAGAGATACATGTTCGCTGATGAGAAATGAAATAGGAGAATCTTTGTTTACAATATTTGCCTCATTACCATAAGCGATACAGTTTCTGATGGAGCTACAAAAGCATTATTTCTGAGTATCGAAAGGGCACAGCACGATTAACCTATACGTAATAGCGACTATTTATTTTGTTACCGCTGACAGGTTGTCCTGTGCTTCTCTCCCGTGGGTTCCACGCTGCGTGTGAGGAGTCGTAAGTTCCCGGCTGTCACTAACTGCACGGCTATTGATTGGTTCCACGAGTGGCCCCAAGAGGCTTTGGTGTCCGTCAGTAAGAGGTTCATTGATGACTTGGAACAGCTTGAGGTGAGAGGTTGAAAACAGAAAAATCTTCCAGGATTTCATGACTGACCCAACAGCAATTCTTGAACATTAATTAACAAAAGATGACAGAAATCCACTATGAATCAACTGAGATTGCTAACGATGGCGAGCGGGATATATTAATATGAGTATCAGTACTTTTAGGTGAAGCTCTACTAAGATGTTATTACAACAAGAAATTCCGTTGACTTCATTAAGACTAAATTTAACCAAAAAGTCAAAGGAACATATCTTGAATTTATTTTAGTTTACAAGATAATTGGCAAGAGAATTCGTTTAGTCCTGAGATACCTCAAATGTTCAGTCTTGCATTTTATGTTGTTTTTTGTTTAAATGTCAACAGTGGTGAGCATGACCCCGGCCTCTTAACTTTCTTCTTTAGATAAACCACGTTAGCTTCTATCTAGGTTTTGCCACCCCCCCCCCCCCNATATTATCTCCGGAGTCAGAAATGAAGTGAAAGGTGCTGGACTTCAAGACACAAGAGAGAATTGCTGGATGTTCTTCATTGAACGAGTGCGACGAAATTTGAAGGTAAACGAACTTAACTCCAGCATCGATTTGACGGAATTTTCGCGAGAGATACATGTTCGCTGATGATAAATAGAGAATAATACAATTGTTCGAAGGTCACACGAACGTTTTCGAACATTTTCGAAAGATTGCCGAAGACTTCCGAGGAAGATCGGCCAACAACGTTAAGCACAGTTAAAGCGTCAAACATGGCATCAACATAACGTCTTCGATATCAATACAGTGAAAAATTATCGTAGTTTTGCACGTGTAAAATTTCGGCTTTTTTCAGGGCTGGAAATCCTTGTAAAACACCGCAGTTTATATAATAAATGCAATTCTTTCATTGTTAAACCGCATGATCTTTTGACAAGGTGAATTTTTCGTTTGGACTATATTTAATAGCGGCTATTTGTTGTGTTACCGCTGACAGGTTGTCCTGTGCTTCTCTCCCGTGGGTTCCACGCTGCGTGTAAGGAGTCGTAAGTTCCCGGCTGTCACTAACTGCACGGCCATTGATTGGTTCCACGAGTGGCCCCAGGAGGCTTTGGTGTCCGTCAGCAAGAGGTTCATTGATGACTTGGAACAGCTTGAGGTGAGAGGTTGAAAACAAAAAAATCTACCAAGATTTCATGAAACCCAACAGCAATTCTTGAACATTAATTAGCCCTGAGATACCTCAATGGTTTAATCTGGTATTTTATATTGTTTTTTGTTTGTTTGTTTGTTTAAATGTCAACATTGGTGAACATGACCCCGGCATCTTAACTTTCTTTTGAGATAAACCACGCTAGCTTCTATCGAGGTTTTGCCCCTAAAATGGCTACTTTAATTTTTGACGTCTCTTTGTTTATAGAATGAGGTGAAACCTTCTGTTGCCGAATTCATGTCGTTTGTACACACAAGCGTGAACGAAGAAAGCCAGCTGTATTTGGCAAATGAAAGGCGCTACAACTACACCACTCCCAAAAGCTTCTTAGAACAGGTATGCTCCCTACAAAAACAAAGTCACACCAAAGAAGTGATGGTGAACTTTAATTATAACAATTTTTAACACGTAGAACCACCTTGTGTGGCACAATAACCAGCATCATATGAAAGTACTGCTCAATAGCTTTCATTTGAATGGTCACACCCTAGGGTTTTATTTACAGAGTTAAATTTACACCATCTTGTAGAACATAAGAAAAGGCCGGAACCGCATGATACAAATTCAGTTTGACTGCCATGGCGATATCTCTAGCCTTTGATTGATGTGTCCACAAGACTTTTGTTAAGAATAGAGGCTCAGATACTGAATATATTAATTACTCTCTGCAGATTACCTTGTACCGAAATCTTTTGAAAAAGAAGTCGCTTGAGTTAAGTCAACAAACCGAACGTCTCGAAAATGGTTTGCTAAAGTTACAGAGTACAGCTTCTCAGGTAGATGATCTGAAAGCCAAGCTGGCCTCCCAAGAAGTCGAACTCAAACAGAAGAACGAAGATGCGGACAAACTGATTGAAAAGGTTGGCGTCGAAACTGAGAAGGTTAGCAAAGAGAAAGCGATTGCTGACGAAGAAGAAAAGAAGGTTCAGGTCATTGCTAAAGATGTGGCTGAGAAACAGAGGTCTTGTGAAACGGACTTAGCTAAAGCTGAACCTGCTCTGCAAGCCGCTCAAGAAGCTTTGAACACACTGAACAAGAACAACTTGACAGAGTTGAAGTCGTTTGGTTCGCCACCCTCAGCTGTAGTTAACGTCACATCTGCTGTTTATGTGTTGCTTTCTCCGCCCAATAAGATTCCTAAAGACAGGAGCTGGAAGCAGTGCAAAATCATGATGGCCAAGGTAAATATCTGACGCAAGGACAATTTTTTGTGATTTTACTGCAGCTGTACCGAGACATTTCGCAGCAAGTAAAATGGGAAGATTTATTTTCCCAGCCACCGCCAACGATTTTTCTTTTCTGTCTCTTTGAAAGGTTGATCAATTTTTAGACCAGTTGGTGAACTACGACAAAGAAAATATTCACGAGAGTAACCTGAAGGCAGTGCAGCCATACCTTGACGATCCTGAGTTTGAACCAGACTTCATCCGCTCCAAGTCTGGTGCTGCTGCCGGTATCTGCGCATGGTGCATCAACATCATCAAGTTCTATCACGTATTCTGTGACGTAGAACCCAAGAGACAGGCCTTAGCCGCTGCTAATGCAGAGCTGGCAGCTGCAGAAGAGAAGCTGTCTAAGATCAAGGCAAAGATTAATGAGCTCGATGAGAACTTGGCTGAGCTCACGGCATCATTCGAGAAGGTAATGATATCAAAGTATTAAATTTCGACCGACTTGACTTAATTTCATCTCTCCTCTGCGAGAACTGAATAGGGCCATACAATCGAACCTCCGATTGC